CTATTTTAATTGTGTGTGATGAAATTTGTTTGGCCTTGAAAAATATTGCGTCATCCGTGATGGCATCAGATTTTTATCACGCCCAGTCACTATTATCCCGACTGTCGATTAGTTGTCCTACGGCCATTGTCTGTGATGGACGTTACTCCAAGGAAGCACACGAAAATTTGTAACGCTGCACGAACACACTGTCAAGCATTACCATTGAGCAAATCAAAGTACTATAGACTGACCCGGAAAGTCTCCTGATTTAAAACCAATCGAGAATCTATGGTCAACCTTCAAAAAACGACTTCGTGGAATGGACATATTATGTACTTACATGTGCACTGGGTCATGTTTCATTAGAAAAATACGAAAGAAAAGTAAATAATAACGGAATTATTCGTTTTGTTTCAATTAATTTGCATAATGGTGTATGTGATCATAGCCCTCCACATCTTCCTGTAGAATTAATTTGCACAAAGCTGTACAACTGTCAGTTCTATACTAATAGTTCCTTTTCTCGCACTGCCCGCCAGTGGAACTCTCTTCCGATTAATTGCTTCCCTGCTGCCTACAATCTTCAAAAATTGAAAGCAGCGCCAATCGCCTTCTCTTGTCTCTATGCATCCTGTCCCTTTTCCTCGCTAAAGTCTTCTCATTTAATTGAACTTCCTTAATCACCTGCATCTTAGTTGCTTTATCGCCTTTCTTGGCGTGAAACGATGAAAAAAAACAATCCAATATTGGCAAACAATTACATTTACAGATTCAAAAAGAACAATATAATATCAATATTACGTTCTGCAGAAATTCAACCAGAAAAAAGATCGGAAAGTAGACTGGTCGAAAGTGTGCTATAAAAACAAGACAAGGCAATTGTTTCAACAGAATCATTATGTCCCGGCCAAAACGTGCCATTTCCCATACAATTTTTCCCCATATCACTTGATCAAATTTCCGCAAATTTATAACCAAATAAATGTTCATTATTTACATTATTCGGACTATTGTCCTCATTTTTGTCGCCATATTTATCACAACGTTTCGGCCCTTTCAGTATCTGTCTATATTTCTGAGATTAGGTATTATGTACAATATTTACATTATTCGGACTATTGTCCTCATCTTTGTCGCCATATTTATATGCTCAAAATCAATGTACTGTAGACTGGCCCGGAAAGTCTCCTGCTTAAAAACCAATCTAGAATCTCTAGTCAATCTGCGCTCCGGCCTTCTTCACGTGGTTGGAATGTCGAACTAAACCCTTTATTTCGCTCACTGGGGTAGAATGTTCTAGTTCCACGTGCCATGTTTAATAGATGTCAGTTATCTCCTGTTAATTCCTGAGAAGAGGTATTATGTACACTATTTACAATATTCGGACTATTGTGCTCATATTTGACGCCATATTTATTACAACGTTTCGGCCCTTCAGTATCTGCCTATATTTCTGAGATGAGGTATAATGTACACTATTTACATTATTCGGACTATTGTCCTCATCTTTGTCGCCATATTTATTACAACGTTTCGGCCCTTCAGTATCTGTCTATATTTCTGAGATGAGGTATTATGTACACTATTTACATTATTCGGACTATTGTCCTCATATTTGTCGCCATATTTATTACAACGTTTCGGCCCTTCAGTATCTATCTATATTTCTGAGATGAGGTATTATGTACACTATTTACATTATTCGGAATATTGTCCACATTTTTGCCGCCATATTTATTACAACGTTTCGGCCCTTCAGTATCTGTCTATATTTCTGAGAAGAGGTATTATGTACACTATTTACATTATTCGGACTAGTGTCCTCATCTTTGTCGCCATATTTATTACATCGTTTCGGTCGTTGTACGCTCCGGCCTTCTTGGTGGTTGGAATGTCGAACTGAACCCTTTATTTTACTCACTAGGTTAGACTGTTCTAGTTCCACATACCATATTTAATGGATGTCAGTTATCAGTTATGCCCTGTTAATTCCCCTCTGCAGAGAGCGAAATAAAGTGTTCAGTTAGACATTCCAACCACCTGAAGAAGGCTGGAGCGTACAACGGCCGAAACGTTGTAATAAATATGCCAACAAAAACGAGGACAATAATCCGAATAATGTTAATAGCGTACATAATTCCTCATCTCAAAAATATAGACAGATACCAAATAAATGTTTAATTGCTTCTCCAGTCGTCCATATGGACCATGAGCCTGATTCTGTGCCTTGAAAGCAAAGTTTTTATTGCTTGCTAGATTTCTTTAAACTATCATGGCTCTCTAAGAAAGAGATATTTTTTCAAGCTATCAAGAACAGAGTCCGTCCTGGGTATGACGATAAACTATATCGGTGTTCTGGGTAAGACGATAAACTACACCCGACAGCAAGACCTTTGATCAGGAGGTTTTGAGGAGCGGGAAACCACCTCTTAATTATTGGTGTTCCCAGGTCCACCCTGACCCGGGGTGGTAGCACCTGTTAGGATCCTAGCTATGGGAAAATAGTTACCCCCAAATGGGTCAAAACACTATGAAAGTATAAAAATAGGTTTTTATACCTGCAATACTTTTAGGAAAAATTATTATCAGGGTACATTTTTGAAAAAGAAATATATTACCAGCAGTACATTTTTGGAAAAAAAATACCTGGAATACTTTTATGCAAAAAAAAAAAAAAAATTACCAGTAATAGAAATCTTGTCGGCATTAAATAACCTATTGAGATTGATATGCCGTAAAACAAACCAAAAACAGGGAGACGTGGGTTCATGACTTTGGTTTAAATTAAGCACAATTATCAGAGATTAAATTTTAACGCGTTTGATCTTTCCATTTTCTACATCACATCTTTTTTATGAATGTATAAAATGGCAGGGAGATGTGAATTCATTCCTTTCGCAATATCATTTGTGTTAATTGGATGTGGTTCTACAGAAGGATCCTGAGGATATTATAAAGCGTGTCAGCAACGATGAGGTCTTGGAGAGGATGCAAAGAAGGAGGAAGCTTATAATTAACATCAGGAAGAAGCAGCTGAAGTTTCTTGGACACATAATGAGAAAGAAGGGCTTGGAGAATCTGATGCTCACAGGTCGAATAGACGGAAAGAGGGATAAAAGGAAAACAAGGCATGACATACCTAGAGGGCTTAAAAAAGTGGGTGACAGTACAGGCTCCGGGTGAAGTAACACAGGGAGAATATTTATTGATAGCTACAAGGAATTGGGAGAAGTGGAGAGCCATGATCGTCTACGTCCTGAAGGACACGTCACATAAAAAGAATACAAGTATTACTTACAATTCTTCTAGTTTAGGTTAGTTTGGTCGCGTTTAAGACATGTCAAATTTAACATCTGACACCCAGTGAAGATCGAACTCACTACCTCAGTAATAATTATTAACCAAACTAACTTCACAAACAATTACCGCAGACCGATTAAATTTGGTCAATTTTATGACATGTCAAAACTAGTTGAGTTATTAAATCTAGATTAATGATCAAACTATCTACCTCCGTAATAAGAGACAGTCATACAAACCTCGCTAAATATTACCTCAATGCCGATAACTTTCAATTATCTGTGTTGATAATATTTACACTACTTCATATATCTATTTAGTGTGTGTTTAGAATGCAGGGATAAGTGGATTCATGCCTTTGCAAAGGCATTAATGATATGAAGTTACAAGTGCCCATCAACTGACACTCAACTAAGGAATTTAATATCATAATCTATCTTTTATCTTGGTAAGATGTTCAGATGACAGAACCAGGATCTCAATCTAGGTGTACAAAAAACTTGATGCTCTGAAATCTTCAAGGACCGACATTTTATCTAATGTCATAATAACAAATCCAAATCTTTGTGTTCTGGTGAGATTATATGTGGTGAAAAGTAAGTTTGATTTGGTTAGCAATCCTTTTGACTGGTACTCTGCAATGTTCAGCGAAAAGATAGCAGCCTGTCTTCTTTTCAGAAGAAAAAAAAATAATCATTAATCTACTGTGTTGTTGGCTGGATAATTAGTTCACTGGGACCATCCCCAAAACACGAATGACAAGATATTCGAAAGCAAATAAGAAGATATTTGATCACAGCTGTGCTGTTGTTGATAATAGTAATGAGAAAGGCTGATCCAGATTTGAAAAGACACACGCCGTAACGATGACGGTGACTGACGAAATCTAAAAAGAAAAAAGAAATTAAGAGACTATTATCAGCTTTGCTTATTGTATTAAGTAAGCTTAAAACGAACCTGATAATTGCACAAGACTACTACTTAACTACTACTTTGAAATACCGGTTTTCGTATGATCACCGAAGTTAAGCAATATTTAGCGTGGTCAGCACCTAGATGGGTGACCGTTTAGGCAAGCTTTGATAATTGTATTGACTAAACTGAAAATGACCCTGAGGATTACAAAAGACGGAGGGCATACTGCCCATTACGTTGGAACACCGGTTCTCGTAAGATCGCCAAAGTTAAGCAATGTTTACTCTGCTCAGTACCCAGATGGATGACCATTCAAAAATACCTCGCACAGTACGTTTGGATGTAAGGGTGTTACGGTTTATGGGTATATCAGTACGAAGTTAAGCAACATAAACCCTGTTTAGTATCTACATAGGTAACCGCTTAGAAACTAGCTATGTACAGTAAGCTTAGATTTTAGGACGCTACGCCTTACGAACATATCACGTTGATATTTCAAAGTTAAGCAATGTCGAGTTTGGTCAGTCGTAGATGTATTATCACTTGGAATTCCACATGGTATGATTTACCGCCATATCACGTTAAAAAAACTAGATCTCGTATGATTGATGAAGTTAAGCAACATCGAGTCCAGTCAGATGGATGACCGCGTCGAAATACAAGGTGCTGTAAACTTGGATGTGAGGGTGGCACGGATTAGGGAAATATGACGTCGAAACATCGAAGTTAAGCAACGTCGAGTTTGGTCAGTACCTAGATGAATATCGCTTGGGAAGCTTGGAAATGCACGTGATATGGATTACTACCATATCACGTTGAAAGATCAGTTCTCGTATGATCACCGAAGTTAAGCAAGATCGAGCCGGGTCAGTTCTTAGATGGGTGACCGTTTGAGAATACCAGGTGCTGTAAGCTTGGATGTAATGATAATGGCTCGGAATTTGAACCAGTGCCGTTCGTTATATTCATTTAGAGCAAATGCTCTTGGGAAAAGTATGAATCCACCTCTTCTCCTCCAGCTATGAGTTAATTAGTGGAATTTGTGTAAGTAAAAATCATTATCCCCAAAAATTTTTCTAAGATAATTTTCGGGTTTTAACTAACCTGCAAAAGGTTGATAATCCATAAAAACAAATCAATACCCAAGACAGAATATTAAGCAAATAATTATACTAGTGAGATGTTCCCACAGATCTGCTAAGGGAAAAATTATATAATATTACAAATTGCATAACGAGACATAAATTAAATGAGACCGAAAAAACATCATATATTTGAAAAGAAATAAAAATGAAAAAATTATCAGGTGAAGGAACATAGAAATGGTTGCGCAGAGGTTACTTGCAAAAGAAAAAGTTATCTAGCAGTTAAGATCTAACAATATTACAGCGAACACAAAATGCAGTAGTTTTATTGAATATAAAATATAAAATATATATATATATATATATATATATATATATATATATATATATATATATATATTCTTACAATGATTTCTAAAAATATTAGACATGTGGAATTATTGACTGCTGGTAGAGATATTGATAATAGTTCATATTTCCTTTTCAGATGTGAATATGAAAGACAAGTCGCGGTATTTACTCGCGACCTCCCAAGGCGGGACGTGGTACAAGGCCAGTTTTTTAATGGAGCGTTCCGAGACCGTAGACTCGGGCAAAAATTTGCCCGTAGACCCCTTATACCCGGGGCCGGGTAGTTGTCTACCTGCCCCAGATGAGACTTCGTCCTTCGGCATAGCCTCGTCTGGGCTCTTCTCCGCCCACTGGCAGAGGGTCGACAGGTAGAGTTAAGTTCTCTCAATGTAAATTAAATCTCTTGACAGAAAGAAAGAGTATAGTGTTAATGATCATGCATGATTCGTAAATTGTTTTCACAATCTAGGAATTTATAAGGAATGAATGGCTCTTATACTTAATTCGATGTGACTTATTACTGTAAACCGGTGACCGGCAAACTGCGGCCCGCGGGTGACAGGCGTTTTGTTTGGACTTCTTAATGGCACACCTAATTTAATGAGGAAAGTAGCATTTATTAAATTTTTTTCTTTTATTTTATTCTCACTTGTTCACAAACATTCTCTCTTACAGAAAGATGTTAAGAAAAGCTAGCATCAAAAGAAAATGATTATTAAATGCCTGAGTAGCCTCCCTTACTTATTAATTTCCATTGTGTTTTGTGTGCATTTCGAAAAAGTCTCATATCTATCTATATTTTGGGGATGAGGTATTATGGTTACTTACATTATTCAGACTGTTATCCTCATCTTCATTGCCATATTCACAACGTTTCGGCCGTTGTACGCCCCGGCCTTTATGTCTATGTCTCTCTATATATCTGTCTATATCTCTGAGATGTGGTATTATGATTACTTGCATTATTTACATTATTCGGACTGTTATCCTCATCTTCATTGCCATATTCACAACGTTTCGGCCGTTGTACGCTCCGGCCTTTATGTCTATGTCTCTCTATATCTCTGTCTATATCTCTGAGATGTGGTATTATGATTACTTGCATTATTTACATTATTCGGACTGTTATCCTCATCTTCATTTCCATATTTGTAACGTTCCGGCAGGTGAGTGGAATTTCAAATCGAACCCTTTATTTAGTTCTCTGGGGTAGACTGTTCTAGTTCCACGTGCCATGTTTCTATCATATGTCTCAGTTATTTCTCTTTAACTCAATTTTTTAAGTTGTTTTTTTGTTTGTTTTTGGTATGCTCTTTGTTTTTTGTTTGTTTTTTGTTTTTGTTTTTGTTTCACTGTTGTAGCAGGTATTGGACTCATTGAGTCTAGTCACTTGGTCTAACCAACGCTTTTATCCACTGGTCTATGTGTCCTTGATGAAGTAGAACAATCGGTGGACGAAATAAAGGGTTCGGTTCGAAATTCCAATCACTTGAAGAAGGCCGGAGCGTACAACTGCTGAAACGTTGTGATTTTCAGAGATGGCGACAGAGATTTAGAGACACATAGGCATAAAGGCCTTAGCGTAGACGACCGAAATGTTGGAATAAGGAAACGAGTAATAAAGAGTGCTAAATAAACTACGGTTAGTATAGAAAAAGAGATGCATGAATCCATAAAAATGAATGAGAATATATAAAATATATACTTCACAAGACATTGTCAACAACTTATTGACACTCTCAAAAACTTTTTTCAAAAATTAAAAAATAAATAAAAAATAAAATAAAACAACACACACAAAACCACCAACCTAAATTAAGTAAAGTTGCTTATTAAAATACATCAAATCAATGAGAAATGTACGACTGGTAAAGTATAAACTTTCTTTTCATCTAGAGGTACAATGATGGATGATGACACGAACAGAGGAAACTCAATTTGGTCATCAGAAATAAAAGAGCAAGATAAAGTTTCCATAATGACAGTTATGGATCTCTTTCAAGAGAAATAGGATTTGATCAAGACACACTGGAAGAAGCAAGAATTAATTTTTTTTACAGAACTTTAGTAAAGGTTCATTATGAATAAAAACGAAAACAATTTATATACAACTGCTTACTTTAGAATTCAAGACCAAATATTTACATTACTTACACATATTATATTACAGAAAACCCTTTGACAATAGAAACTTGTCTGCACACCTGCCTAGAATTACTGAATAAAACGTATGAAATATTTTTGGTATAATAGTTGGAAAGAATTATTAATAAGTAAATAAAATTAAAACAAAAAAGCATTAGTCTTTTTAACAGAGTCTTTTGTGCATGGAAATCCAATGAATTTACGATTAGCATTTCGCTTTCAATCCGACTCCACGTTTGATGACATAAAGTCTCTATGAAAACGAGGCTGCCATCTGCGCCATTTCTATTACAGTCGCTTCTTAACTTTCGTAACTTTTATCCGCCGGCCTAGCGGGATGACTTGGAGTGCACCATTTGCATTGGAAGAGCGAACAAACTTTGACGTAAACATAATTATAGAGGACTATGTGAAAGTATTTTGAAAATAAATGAATTATTAGATTATTCAGGTGTCGTTTTGGTTTGGTTAGTTTTACGGCATATCAACCTCAATGGGTTATTTAATGCCGACAAGATTTTTATTGCTGGCCATATATTTTATCTATCTATCTATCTATCTATCTATCTATCTATCTATCTATCTCAATATATATTGGTTTGGTTTGTTTTTGTTTTTTTTACGGCATATCAACCTCAATGGGTTATTTAATGCCCACAAAATTGTTATTGCTGGCCATCTATCTATCTATCTATCTATCTATCTATCTATCTATCTATCTCAATATATATTGGTTTGGTTTGTTTTTTGTTGTTTTTTTTATTTTGTTTTCTTTTTTACGGCATATAAACCTCAATGGGTTATTTAATGCCGACAAGTTGTTTTTTTTGGGGGTTTTTTTATTGCTGGCCATATATTTTATCTATCTATCTCAATATATATTGGTTTGGTTTGTTTTTGCTTTTTTTACGGCATATCAACCTCAATGGGTTATTTAATGCCCACAAAATTGTTATTGCTGGCCATATATTTTTTATCTATCTATCTATCTATCTATCTATCTATCTATCTATCTATCTATCTATCTATCTCAGTATATATTTGTTCGGTTTGGTTTGTTTTACGGCATATCAACCTCAATGGGTTATTTAATGCCGACAATATTTTTATTGCTGGTAATATTTTTTTCAAAAATATATTTTTGGTAATATTTTTTCCTCAAAAATGTATTGCTCGTCATCTTTTTTTTCAAAAATGTATTTCTGGTAATAATTTTTTTTTTCTTCAAAATTCATTGCTGGTAATAATTGTTTTACAAAAATGTACTGCTGATATTAAAACCTATTTTTACACTTTCATAGCGTTTTGAGTTTGGGGTTAACTATTTGCCCATAGCTGGGACCCTAACAGGTGCTACAACCATGGGTCAGGGTGGATCTAGGAACACCAGCAATTATAAGATGGATCCATGTTCCTCAAAACCTCGTTAGAGGTCTTGCTGTTGGATGTAGTTTATCGTCTTACCAAGGGCGTGATGATATTCAGTCACCCCCCCCACGAGGGTGTCATGTGGCACAAGGCCTTTTTAACGTGGGCATTTCCGAGCCATTAGGCTCGGCCAAAAAATAGCCCATTTGAACCCGTAAAAACGGGTTCAGGGCCGGTTTTACCTCCCCGAAGGATACGCCGCCCTTCGGCGTAGCCTCTTTCGGGTTCCTCCCGCCCGTAGGAAGAGAGTTTAACCGAACAGTCGGTTCAGAGGTGAACGACTGATGGCCAAGGGCGTGATGTCGTTTTGTTACTGGCTGTTGATGAATAGAAAGTGCAAATAAACGTACCTTAGATTTAATGTTATAAGCAAGTAACGCCTTTAAAGGCCTTGTGTTCATTTCCCGGACTTTATAACAGAAAATTTGACCCTGGCTCATTAAAAGCCGTATTCTTATAACATCTTTACGAACTTCGACAAAATACTGAGAGGGATATGCAATATGATTGGTCCTGATCTGGCATCTCGTCTACACTCACTCTCATACAGACGTGTTGTGGCTTTTCTACAAATATTTTCATGACGAGTTACTTTCACTGGTACCCCAATTGCATGAATATAAGCGTGCTAGTAGTTTGGCATCTCAGTCTCACACTCATTGTCGAAACGGTTAAATCCAACTGTCTCTTTTACTCCAACAGTTTCTTATTTCGCACTTCCCGACAGTGGAACTCCCTTCCTCTTAGTAGATTCACTGATAGCTCTAATCTTCAAATATTCAAATGTAATGTCAATCGACATCCTCTAATGCCTTGATCTTTATCCCCGTCCTTCTTTTTATCCTTTCTCTAACCCCTTGCGTGCTAGTGGCATTCCCGCCTTACTTGGGATGATATGCTTAAA